AAAGATCTATTCAAGATAACCGTAAATTTTGTTAGGTTAATTATATAAAATTATTAATAATAAAGTAATTTTATGAATAGATATTTTTTAAAAATAACGACAAAAAATAGTCAAATAAATTATAATTAAGATTTTAAAAATAAAGCATTAAAAAGTTATCTCAAACGGATCATAAATCTCTTATATCTTAAGATTAGGGCTGATGTCCCCAATCAACCGGACAAGTTGGCGCACCATAAAATTGTTTCCTTGTGATAGTTACTACTATCTGTAGCAGATTATTTTGGTTACTTTATTCACTAGGAAGTTTAAATTATTCAGTTCCATCACATAGAAAAGTGGCTGCTTCGTTCAAACTCTATTTTAAATTTTATATTGTTTTCTTAAGTGGGAAGAAAATAAATGCGTGATCCGGTACTTATAGGACTGGTTGCTGCTAGACTCGCTGAGAGATTAGTTATTCCGTCAAGATCCTCCTCTACGGAAGTAGCAGCGGGTAGATATCCCGTTTCAAAAAAAAACTTTTATATTGATTTCGAGTAATAATTTAAGTTGTTTTATTGTATGTATTTTATTGTGGTTTTGCATCTATTCTCTTTGAAGAATATGAGAATATTTATAAACTTAGGTTTTTTTAAAAAAAATTGTAGTTTGGGTCATTGAATTTTTATTATTTTTAATAAATTTTTTTGTTAGTAAGCTATTTTTTCAACATATTTTAGAAGTTATTTTTTCGAAAATAATTTTACAATCATATTTATAAAAAGTTATAGTTGTCCCAAGCAAATCCTTAGATATTATTTGGGACAATTTTCTTACTTTTTATACAATTTCCAAGTATAAATTATAAAAAAAGTAAAAAGTAGTCACAAACGAGATTAATTATTATGAGCGGACGTTGAACTCCGTCCGAAGACCAACCAGAATGTGCCACGTCACCCCTTGCTCGATACTGCTGATATGGCGCATTCTGGTTGGTCTCCATACGACGTCTTGTCTCTGATATTCGCACATAATAATTTCTCCATAAAAGAAGCCTAATTCGGCTTGTCCAATCAATCCATTCAATTTGAGAGCAGCTTTTTCAATCTTCTTTTTTTTTTTATATAGTAAATTTTGGGGCATATAGCCCTTATATTAATAACCAAAAGGGATTACAACAAACTACATAAGAAAGTTACAAGTATAAAAACAACTATACCCCCCAAACATTTAGAAAAAATCAAAAGAAGCACAAAAAGAAAAAGAGAAGAGGGAACAATGGACTCAAAAAAATAAGGTCTACATCCCAAAACATCACAACCTCAATCAAGTAGAGGATACGAAAATGTAGCCGATGGAGCACTGGTTACCACAGACAAAAGAACAACAAAGCAGGACCATCACAATAGCTTCCAAAAATTTAGAATCACCATTCAACAAAACTCCTTGGTTGTCATAAGGCCATCCAAGAAAGGGATGATAAGATGTAGACATTGGCTCATCATTGTCCAGAAACAAAAAACAATAAACCAAAACTGCACCCAAGAAGTGCAAGTAAAAAAAAAAAAAAAAAGAACCTCCCAGTATAACTGCAGCTGGCACCATCTGAATCCAAAGGTATCAGGCCATCCAAAAGGTCCAAACAAATAACTCCAATAATCCATAAATTCCAAGGTTGCCAAGGAGCCCAACCATGCCCAGCATAACAAATACCAAAAAAACCTAAAACAAGCAAAACTGCAAGCATTATCTCATAATTTCCAAAAACTTCTCTTTAATTTGATCCTTGAAAGACCAATTCTTAGTTTTCGCACGAATATCATAAATGATAGAAGCTTTAATAACAGTTGGGCTTTCCCATGAATTAGTAAACATTCTCTTATTCCTTTTCCTCCATATGTAGTAAACGACACAAGAAACAGTAAGAAAGCCGAAAACTTTTTCCTTCCTGTTGAAATGTTGGATAGTATTCAAGTAATCATAGGTTTGCAATATATCAGGCTTAAGATAAAATTTGTTCAGAATTGCCAAGGCAAAAAAGAACAAGAGGGGATGGCTAGAATTTCCCTTATGATTAAAATATTAATACTTTTTAATTTCCCCAAAACCACCATCCAAGCATAACAGGCAAATTGAACAATATGTTTCTTATGCCAAATGAACTTGCACCAATCCACATCATCTAAATTGGAATAGTTTTGAGAAGTAAAATCCTTAAATATGAGGTTAGAGGAGCCATTCTAGGCAAGCACCAGTTACTCCTTAATTTTTATACCCAAAATATTAGTCTTAACATAATATGGAATGCAATCCGGGAGAGACCATTGCCCATTAATAATGAAATCATTAACAGAGAGACGAGACATTCTATTGGAATTGAAATAATCTAACAATGAAATTCCATTGCACCAAGGGTCCCATAGCATGGAGAAATTGCAGTTAGGTGCAACAGACTGAGAGATGAAGTTTTTAATGCTTCGAGCCGATTAACAAATCAACTTTCAGAATTTAAAAGCCAAGGCAGGAGGCGGCTTCCAAGGGGATTTAAACTTAGCCTTACACGAAGTACCCAACATAGTGTTATAGTTATACATGTGCCAAATGAAAGAACAAGCCACACTATGATAAAGAGCATCAAAAGAAGGGAGGCCCAAACCTCCTTTGCATTTCGGCCTTGTCATAGAATTTTAGGAAATAAGGTGCAGCTTTTTATCTTTGATGTTTCCAAAGAATAAAAATTTAGAGCAAAGTTTAGAAATAATTTTACGATGAGCTTTAGGTATTATGGACCTTCTAATCCAATAGGCGAGAGTATTAATAATAGAAAACTTCAGAAACTGAACTCCACATGCAAAAGAAAGAAACTTAACTTTCCAACCCTAAAAAATAGCATAAATTCTACTCATAAGGGGTTGGAAGTGAGTGAAATTAAGCCTATTAGCAACAATAAGAAGCCCCAGGTAAATAAGAGATGTGTCAATTTGAGAAATTCTAAGAGAGGCAGCAATCTCAACTGCATTATCAACATTTTTAGAAAATAATATGGAGCTTTTGACCGGATTTATACAAAAACCAGATACAGTCGAAAATTGCTGAAGAGAACTCCTCAAGTAGCTAGCATTATGTAAGGATGCAACCCCAAAAATCAAGAGATCATCAGCATACATGAGATGCTTGAGACTAAAATTATTTTGTTCTAGTCCCAAAAAAGAGTGCTGATTTTGGTTATGCAAGCATGAGGATAACCCATCCATGACTATGCAAAAAACAAAGGGGATAAAGGACATCTTTGCCGAAGCCCCGATGAAGAATTAAAGAAATCTTCCAACGATCCATTAAAGAAAATAGAAAAATGCACCTCAGAAATGCACCCCCTACTCCATTTAATGAAAAGGTTTGGAAAACCTTTTTGCTTTAATCTGTTAAGCGAGAAAACACGAGAGACCAAATCAAATGCTTTTTTGATATCAAGCTTGACACAAAAGAGCTTATGAGAACCTTTAAATTATTTGAGAATCTCAGAGTCAAGGATAATGTTATCAGCAGAGCACTTTTTAGCAATGAATCCAGATTGTCTCTCATGAATAATAAAAGGTAAGGCAAGTTTCAACATATATTGCTAATAATCTTGTATAATACATTGCACAAAGAAATATGCCTGAAATAAGAAATACTGGAAGAATGAGTACCCTTAGGGATAAGGATAATGACAGTAGCTTTAGCACCCCTAGGGAGGTGGCCAGAAGAAAAATAATGTTTAATTGCATTACATAGCTGATATCCAATGATGGGACAAGTTTGTTGATAAAAAGCAAAGGTGAAACCATCGGGACCCACCCGGAGCCGAGGAAGAACCCCCAACAAATACAACATCCTTAATTTCTTCATTAGTAACTGGAGCAACAATGACCCCAAGAAGGTTAGGAGGAATCATGCTACCAGCATGAATATTGTAAGAGCTCTCATGAATGGGTTTAGGTGCATTAAAAAGTTTTCTGAAATGATCAATCAAAGCTTTTGCAATGTCTTGATGCGAGGAGTGAATACCCGAAGAAGAGGTGATTTCTTTAATATTGCTTCTGTTTTTCCTTGATCTAATCTCGGCATAGAGGAAGCTAGTATTAGAGGAGTCAATAAGATACCTCTTTTGTGGTGGAAGATGCACAATGTTAAAAGAAAATTTTAGTACAATGAATAAAAATCTTGCATATACAATTAAATTAAGATAATCTCCAAAGAGATATACAATTTTTATGTAGAAAATAAATATATAAATATAAGAGTGTCGGGGCTAGAATATTCGTGGTATTAAAGTAGGAAAATATTTCATCTTAGTATTGCATGAATATCAAGCTCACAAACATAGAGAATAGAAACACCATAATTTTATACGTGGAAAACTCTGAAGGGAAAAATCACGGAGTCATGACTAGTGAAATGAATCCACTAGTATTTGAATAGATTGCAAATGATTGATTCGTCCTTGAAGTTGAGGCCGACCAGATTACAAATAGTCAATTGTCAGATTGAAATCTAGTGATGAATAGGGATCAAACAAAAGTTTGTCGACGGTCGGTGGTCGGGCGGAAGTCCGACGACAGCTAGTGGCGGGTTGAAGTCTGACGACAACTGATGGTCGAGCAAAAGTTTGACGACAATTGGCGGCCGGGCATAAATCCAACGGAAGTTCAGAAATGGTCCGTTGTTGCAGGATGGTCGAGGAGGAATTTGCTAAAAAAATAACTCTAATTTATCTTCTTTTTCTCTCTTCCTTCTTTGATCCTTCCTTGAATGAAGAATGAGGGATTCAACTTGTTTCTTATTTGTTTTCTCAACGTGCACAAAAAATTTTATTTCTAAAAAATAAACTTTCATGAATTTTTTTTTTAAAACATAAAAAATGAGTGGATCTCACGATTTTAAAATTTTCATATCTAAATTGGGTTGGTGATATTAAGAAATTCAGGTGTATTAATTTAATTTAATTAAAATTTTCACACAGAATAATTTCTCCCTCGTTACCCCTCCGCCGACGCAAACCTACTTCACTTTTTTCAAAATAAATGTAATAAAATAAATCTTGCTCTGAGACAACCAGCTTAATATATATGAAGACCCGAGTCTTTCTTATTTTCCAATCTCTGCATTTCTAGCTTTGATTCTAAGTCTCGAACTGCTAAACCCTTATTTGCTTTTTGCTGTTTCTCAGTGTTTCGATGGCGATTTCCCCCAAGAGGGTTTTGCTCACCGCGAATGGGGACGAGATTTCCACGGGTATCGCTTCCCATCTGGCAAAGGCTGGTTGCAGGTTTGTCTTTATAATATTTTTTTTTTGTTATTGGAGCGAAATTCTGCCTCTTTCTTCTCTTTGTGTTTGATTTTGGTTCTTTAAGACTTCAAAGTCGATCCTACTGAATATTTCTTACTAATTTCATTTTTATGCTCGTCGTAATTCCTTACTCTGATCACGATATTTTCTGTTTTAGCATATTTTTTTTTTGCTCTTTATTGGCCGTTTATGCTTATTTTATACGAGTTTTTTTAGGTTAGTTATTATGGGTGATGAGAATGACCTCCGGTCACTGGTGAGGGAGATTACGAGTTCGTTGAAGGGATCAACTACGATTGAGCTAGTTGGACTGAATATGGAAGAAGAAAATGAGGTCATTTTTGATAATGCTGTGGATAAGGCATGGAAACTCTTGGGTTCAGTGGATGCTTTCGTTAATTGCCATTTATATGAAGGTGAAATGGTCGTTGATTCTTTTAGTAGTTTGTAACATTTTGTACATCTGCCTCTGATTGGTTTCAAAGTTTATCTTATTTTTTTTTTCCTGAAACTTTGGCATATATACTATAATGTTATTTGATCTGTCATAGAAATTTTCTAATGTAAGGAATCATAAATGATGTTGCTTGTATCTATTTCTGTAAGATGGCCTGTTCACCAATACTAACTTTGTTTAAGGTTTTGCGCACTAGATATTTAATTGATCTTAGTTCCTAAACATTCTACATGCCATTTATTTAGAAGGCTTGCTTTCTTTCCTGTTTAATTTTGTAGTGGTTTTTTGCCTGTTTGATTTACTGGAAAACAGACAATAATTGGATTCCAAAAAGCATATTATAGAAAACATTGATATGGATTAGATATTCATGTGTTATTACCTTTTACAAATTAAGAACCGATAGATTTGGGTTCCACTGCAAGATCATGACTTCTATAAAAGAAATTTAAACTGATCTTAATAAAATTGCAGGGACCAAAAGTTAACATTTCAATGAAATCTCTACTTAAAATAGAATCAATGCATTCTAAATATTTTTCAAAACCATCTGAATGGAGCTTGATATATCACCAAGCCAATGTTCGTCAAGCTTTAATGATGAACTATATACAGTATAAGTAGAGTTCTTATTTTCCTCTAGTGTATTACAGAAGCCATGTTCAATTACTTGAAGGCTACCATTTTTTATTCTTTGTGAACTTCTGTCCTGGGTCATTTATATTTGAACTTGTCCAATTTCATTTCCTAAAGGATGCTTTGTTGATTTCAATCCCAAGCCTATTGAGCCTTTCGATGTTTAAATTTATATACCTTATCAAAGTTATAGTATTTACCATTTAACAATTTTTGCCTTATGCTAACTATTTGAGGTATACTTTATGAATTATCATCTTCTTTTCATTCCTATTGAGTGCTAGATGAGATTTAATTTAACTTTTCCAAGTATATTTATATAAATTTTAACTGTGATACTTTTGGATTTTCTATCTTTTTTGCCCTTTTATGTGAATGCTATTCATCATGTTAAATTATGCATTTTAAAATCCATTTTTTACACGTCCCAGCCACCTAAGTTTATTCTTCATTATCTTATCGTCTATCAACTACTCTTACTAGCTCTCTAGTATAATTATATCTAGTGAATCATCTATAGCTTTCCTATGCATTCAGATTTGTAGTCTCATTTCTTTCCAAACCCAACTTTTATATTTAAGACATTGTTGTCTTGTTGTAGTTGTATACATTGTATAGCTATTCTAGTATCTAATTGTTTAAATTTTTGATGTTCTATATGATGTTCTTTTATTGTTTAAATTTTTGAAGCACTTTTCTATTTTAATCACCAAGCTACATAAGTTTTATCATCTATTACAATTGATTCTTTTTATAATAGATCCATGGCATATGAGTTTAGCACACTTAGGTATTACTTGATCTTTCACTAATATTGATTGGTATTTCTGATTTTGTAACTAAATTTATGTATCATATGCCTAGTCTTTGTTTTAATATTACCATATCTGTCAATTCTAAAGATGATCCATTCTTCTAACTTTTACTTATTTCGAAAGAAGCCTCACTCATCAAAATTACATATCCTATAGTTAGCATACATACCTCTCTTTCATAGCTTCTATAAGCAGTCCATAGCTAATATGGAAATATACCAACTAAAACATTGGTCCTTGATGATATTTTTGCCATGTTTGGAAGCTCTTTTGTCATTCTTCAATTAATTTTAATGGTAATATTTATTTCATTGGATTATTTATTTGATAACATCAGCACACCTTTGACACAATTTTCACCTTAATTACAACCAAATCAACTATATTTGGTAGCGAATCGAGTTTGATCAAGTTTACCTCAATTTGAGCTTAAAGTTTTCAAGGAGAGTAAAATTGAGTGATTTAGCCTCGATTTTAAGTCAAGCATATTTTTTAGTCAAAAAGAAATGCATTACATATGTTTATGTAGATCCGCAAACTTAGGCATAAAATCTTATGTTCATGTATATATGCGCATTTCTAATTTATATGTTTATATTTATCCACATATTGTTAGGAATTATTGGAGACACAAAAATAATAATTCGATCGTCTCCGAAAGACATGCCAAATCATCAAGAAGAATTTTCGGAAGCGTACTTGAATCCATTGAAATGCAGAATTGAGGTTTTCGGTCTTCCATGTTTAGAGCGGCGTTCTCCAAGAGAGCGAGAGACCCCTTCTTTTCACTTAAGATGGAAAATGAAAAAAATGAGAACTTAACCACTTAAACTGGGGACCACGACCTTTTTATACTTTAAGTGTAAATATTTTATTTCAGCCCATCATTAAAATAAAATAAATACCCGGCCTCTACGCAAAGTAAGTCCATACAAAATTTAATTGAGATGCGACATAAGCCAATTAATAATTTAATACTTAAATAGATCACAAATTTAATTGGCTTAATTTTAGATTGCTTCTAATATATAAAACTTTATTTATATGTATAAGCATATGAGTCCACTTATAGAAATTTCCCAACACATATAACATTAATAATTCAAAAGTCAACTATCAAGATACTTCCAAACTCAATTTGGCTATTGAAGGTAACTAATTTGTTTAGCTGCACTTGTATCGATGGCATTGTTTATTTAATTGCAATTTTATAAACTATACCATTAGGTCTCCATGATATTCTTTGCGTGTGCAGTTTTTTGAAGCACTTTTCTATTTTAACCACCCAGCTACTTTATAAGTTTTGTTCTTTTTATAATAGATTCATGGTATTTGAATCCATCACACTGAGGTAGTACTTGATCTGTCACTAATATTGATTACTAATTTTGTTCTATCATATGTGTAGTCTTTTATCTATTAAATCTAAATATCCCAATTCTAAAAAATTCCATCTTTTTGCTAATTTTGAAAGAACCCTTGCCCCATCAAATGTATATTTCATAGAATTAGAATGCACACTTCACTTTCAAATGCTTCTAAGCACCTCCATAGTTAATATGAAAAGATATTAACAAAATTAGTTATCATTAATTGAATATTTATTATGATTGGAACTCTTTGGCACTCTTCAACTATTTCTAATACTAATCCTTGTTTCATCTGGACATTACTTTAGTAACATCAACAAACATTTAATACACTTTTTATGTTAATTGCTGCCAAATCAACTACAGTTGGCGGTAGATCGAGCTCGATTAGTCTACCTTGATTTGTAAGTTTTAAAGGAGGTTCAAAAGTGAGTGATCTAATTTCGATTTCAAGTGTGGTTAAGCATATTTTTGTTTCAGCACTTACAAATACTTGTGTAAATTCACATACTTAATCAAAAATATTTCATCTTAGTATTGCATGAATATCAAGCTCACAAATATAGAGAATAGAAACACCATAATTTTATACGTGGAAAACTCTGAAGGGAAAAATCACGGAGTCATGACTAGTGAAATGAATCCACTAGTATTTGAATAGATTGCAAATGATTGATTCGTCCTTGAAGTTGAGGCCGGCCAGATTACAAATAGTCAATTGTCAGATTGAAATCTAGTGATGAATAGGGATCAAACAAAAGTTTGTCGACGGTCGGTGGTCGGGCGGAAGTCCGACGACAGCTAGTGGCGGGTTGAAGTCTGACGACAACTGATGGTCGAGCAAAAGTTTGACGACAATTGGCGGCCGGGCATAAATCCAACGGAAGTTCAGAAATGGTCCGTTGTTGCAGGATGGTCGAGGAGGAATTTTGTAAAAAAATAACTCTAATTTATCTTCTTTTTCTCTCTTCCTTCTTTGATCCTTCCTTGAATGAAGAATGAGGGATTCAACTTGTTTCTTATTTGTTTTCTCAACGTGCACCAAAAATTTTATTTCTAAAAAATAAACTTTCATGAATTTTTTTTTTAAAACATAAAAAATGAGTGGATCTCACGATTTTAAAATTTTCATATCTAAATTGGGTTGGTGATATTAAGAAATTCAGGTGTATTAATTTAATTTAATTAAAATTTTCACACAGAATAACTTCTCCCTCGTTACCCCTCCGCCGACGCAAACCTACTTCACTTTTTTCAAAATAAATGTAATAAAATAAATCTTGCTCTGAGACAACCAGCTTAATATATATGAAGACCCGAGTCTTTCTTATTTTCCAATCTCTGCATTTCTAGCTTTGATTATAAGTCTCGAACTGCTAAACCCTTATTTGCTTTTTGCTGTTTCTCAGTGTTTCGATGGCGATTTCCCCCAAGAGGGTTTTGCTCACCGTGAATGGGGACGAGATTTCCACGGGTATCGCTTCCCATCTGGCAAAGGCTGGTTGCAGGTTTGTCTTTATAATTTTTTTTTTTTGGTTGTTGGAGCGAAATTCTGCCTCTTTCTTCTCTTTGTGTTTGATTTTGGTTCTTTAAGACTTCAAAGTCGATCCTACTGAATATTTCTTACTAATTTCATTTTTATGCTCGTCGTAATTCCTTACTCCGATCACGATATTTTCTGTTTTAGCATATTTTTTTTGCTCTTTATTGGCCGTTTATGCTTATTTTATACGAGTTTTTTTAGGTTAGTTATTATGGGTGATGAGAATGACCTCCGGTCACTGGTGAGGGAGATTACGAGTTCGTTGAAGGGATCAACTACGATTGAGCTAGTTGGACTGAATATGGAAGAAGAAAGTGAGGTCATTTTTGATAATGCTGTGGATAAGGCATGGAAACTCTTGGGTTCAGTGGATGCTTTCGTTAATTGCAATTTATATGAAGGTGAAATGGTCGTTGATCCTTTTAGTAGTTTGTAAGATTTTGCACATCTGCCTCTGATTGGTTTCAAAGTTTCTCTTAATTTTTTTTTTCCTGAAACTTTGGCCTATAGAATAATGTTATTTGATCTATCATATAATTTTTCTAATATAAGGAATCATAAATGATGTTGCTTGTATCTATTTCTGTAAGATGGCCTGTTCACCAATACTAACTTTTTTAAAGGTTTTGCGTACTAGATATTTACTTGATCTTAGTTCCTAAACATTCTACATGCCATTTATTTAGAAGGCTTGTTCTCTTTCCTGTTTAATTTTGTAGTGATTTTTGGCTGTTTGATTTACTGGAAAACAGACAATAATTGGATTCCAAAAAGTATATATGTATTTATAGAAAACATTGATATGGATTAGATATTCATGTGCTATTACCTTTTACAAATTAAGCACAGATAGATTTGGGTGCCACTGCAAGATCATGACTTGTATAAAAGAAATTCTATCTGATCTTAATAAAATTGCAGTGACTAAAAGTTAACATTTCAATGAAATCTCTACTTAAAATACAATCAATGCATTCTAAATATTTGTCAAAATCATCTGAATGGAGCTTGATATATCACCAAGCCAGTGTCCTTCAAGCTTTAATGATGAACTATATACTGTATAAGTAGAGTTCTTTTTTTCCTTTAGTGTATTATAGAAGCCATGTTCAATTACTCGAAGGCTACCATTTTTTATTCTTTGTGAACTTCTGTCCTGGGTAATTTATATTTGAACTTATACAATTTCATTTCCTAAAGGATGCTTTGTTGATTTCAATCCCAAGTCTATTGAGCCTTTCGATGTTTAAATTTATAAACCTTATCAAAGTTAGATTATTTTTCATTTAAAAATTTTTGCCTTATGCTAACTATTTGAGGTAGATGAGGTTTAATTTAACTTTTCCAAGTATATTTAGATAAATTTTAAATGTGATACTTTTGGACTTTCTATTTTTTTGCCCGTTTATGTGAATGCTATTCATCATATTAAATTATACATTTTAACATCAATTTCTTACACGTCCCAACCACCTAAGTTTATTCTTCATTATCTTATCGTCTATCAACTACTCTTACTAGCTCTCTAGTATAATTATTACTTAGTGAATCATTTATAGCTTTCCTATGCATTCAGATTTGTAGTCTCATTTCTTTCCAAACTCATTTTTTATATTTAAGACATTGTTGTTTGTTGTAGTCGTATACATTGTATAGCCTATCTAATTGCAATTTTATAAAATTTATCTTTAATTCTATATGATGTTCTTTTATTGTTTAAATTTCTGAAGCACTTTTCTATTTTAATCACCAAGCTACATAAGTTTTATCATCTATTACAATTGATTCTTTTTATAATAGATCCATGGCATATGAGTTTATCACAGTTAGGTATTACTTGATCTTTCACTAATATTGAATGGTAATTCTGATTTTATTAACTAAAATTATATATGATATGCTTAGTCTTTCTTTTAATATTACCATATTTGTCAATTCTAAAAATTATCCGTTCTTCTAACGTTTACTTAATTTGAAAGAAGCTTCACTCATCAAAATTACATATCCTATAGTTAGCATACATACCTCTCTTTCATAGCTTCTATAAACAGTCCATATCTAATATGGAAATATACCAACTAAAACATTGGTCCTTGATGATATTTTTGCCATGTTTGGAAGATCTTTTGTCACTCTTCAATTATTTTTAATGGTAATGTTTAATTCATTGGATTATTTATTTGATAACATCAACACACCTTTGACACCCTTTTCACCTTAATTACCACCAAATCATCTATATTTGGTAGCGAATCGAGTTCAATCAAGCTTACCTCAATTTGAGCTTAAAGATTTCAAGGAGAGTAAAATTCAGTGATTTAGTCTCAATTTTAAGTCAAGCATATTTTTTAGTCAACAAGCAATACATTACATATGTTGATGTAGAACCACAAACTTAGGCACAAAATCTTATGTTCCTGTATATATGCACATTTCTAATTTATATGTTTATATTTATCTACATGCATAACATTAATAATTCAAAAGTCAACTATCAACAAGCTTCCAAACTCAATTTGGCTATTGAAGGCATCTAATTTGTTTTGCTGCACTTGTATCGATTGCATTGTTTATTTAATTGCAATTTTATAAACTATACCATTAGGTCTCCATGATATTCTTTGCTTGTTTTGTTTTTTGAAGCACTTTCCTATTTTAACCACCAGCTACTTCATAAGTTTTGTTCTTTTTATAATAGATTCATGGTATTTGAATCCATCATACCGAGGTAGTACTTGATCTATCACTAATATTGACTACTAATTTTGATCTATCATATGTGTAGTCTTTTATCTATTAAATCTAAATATTCCCAATTCTAAAAAATTCTATCTTTTTGCTAATTTTGAAAGAACCCTCTCCGCATCAAAGGTATATTTCATAGAATCAGCATGCACACTTCATTTTCAAATTCTTCTAAGCACCTCCATAGTTAATATGAAAATATATTAACAAAACTAGTTATCATTAATTGAATATTTATTATGATTGGAACTCTTTTGGCACTCTTCAACTATTTCTAATACTAATCCTTGTTTCATCTGAACATTACTTTAGTTACATTAACACACATTTAACACACTTTTTACTTCAATTGCCGCTAAATCAGCTACAGTTGGTGGTAGATTGAGCTTGACGAGTCTACCTTGATTTATAAGTTTTAAAGGAGGTTCAAAAGTGAGTGATCTAGTTTCAATTTTAAGTGTGGTTAAGCATATTTTTGTTTCAGCACCAAATGCATACAAATACTTCTGTAAATTCACACACTTAATCACTAAATCCAGTATTTATGTATATATGCGCATTTCTGATTGATATTTTTATATTTATCTGCAAAATAGAACGTTGCTAACCCAAAAGTCAACTATCTTGGCATTTAATTACACGTATTTTCTAGCTTGATTAAAGGCATATGAATATCTTTTTCATTGTTCATATACTTTTCATTAATTGCTTTATTTCAAAATTTACTTTCATGGTTTACCTTTCTGCCTTAAAATTAAATTGATTTTGGGGATAACATGGTGGTATATCTATGACTCCCTTTATATGAGGGGCACAATATTCATTGACGATATTTTAATGCTCCTCAAATCCAAAATGGTGTTTCTTATTCTTATATGATCAAGAGACTAGTTGAGTAATCCTAAAATATCTGAAGGTTATATCAGTTAATTGGGCCTTTAGCATAACCTCAAAGTAGCATTGCACGGCCACAATGAACAAATTAACATTTATAATGACTCTATTATAGGTGCCCAAATTTTTCTCCATTATTGGGATAAATAGGATCAACAAAGATATTTGATGAGCATTTTATTTATTCTTGGTTCAAGATTATTTAGATCTTAGCTAGTTGTCAATATGAGATTGCTTGATGATTGATTCTCTTTTGGTCTAAGGACTTTAAAGTCAGTTTATTTTTTGTTTTCTTCACCTAACATAATTAGAATTTTTTTGGGCTCTTATCTTTAATTTGGGTGACAGAGGTCTCTTCTAAAGTTGATTACACTTTAGGCAGACTAATGTCTGATTTCTGGTTAAGCATGATGGGACTGTGTGACAAACATACATGCACACTTCATTATTTTGAATCTTGCTTAATATTATGCTGGCACCAAAAGATGCTTTAAGTAGTATTTCAGAACTTGAGTCCAATTATTCTGAACCGGAAAGGAACTAATATATTCTTAGTACGGTTCAGGGTGAACCGGCCCAGCCGGCCCAAGGGCCGGCTCAGTTATTCGGAGGCGGAAACAATCTGCCTCCCATGGTTTCGTTTGCCCAAAGGGCGGGCCCCACTTGTCCACTTGAATTCAAATTGAAAAGGAGGGGGCGTGTAGGGCTTGGGAGGGAAATTAGATTAGGAAAGCTTTTGTATTAAAGAGCATGAGAGGATTAGGCGGGATTATGTTTGATTTGTTCTCAATTAGGGTTTCTTGGCGGCTTGGGCTCTAGACTCACTTGTCTAGAGATTTGGGAGAGACGATCCTCCTCTCGAATTGAGGATCTCTTGTATATTTGCTTCGTTCTTGTTTCACTTTACTTTCTATAAGATTATCTATCATTTGATTGTTCTTCCACCATTTTTTCTACGGTTTCTCGCTGTTTTACCGATTATTGTTAGGTTTGCTTGCGAACTCAAGCATTTCCCATTAAGGTTACTTGCGAACTCAAGTATTTCCTATCATATATTGACAGCATTGTTGAGACAAAACATCATCATTTGCTTCTTACTTATACACACACACACACATTCTTATGTTATTAATTAATTGTTACTAATAGTTAATGATATTGGGAGTAACTTTAAGTAGGATGACTGTTGTAAGTGGAGGCAGCTTTTTTGAGAACTGGAAAACTATTTCTCTGATTTATCGGAATAGAATTATTCGCTTTCTTCCTTGCATTTTTTGTTTAAGCCAGTTTTACTTTATTCCCTTCTTCACATGGGACTTCATTTGTTTTAATTGTCCTCAAATCATTTTTTTTTCCTTTAATTTACTTGATTCGAAGATAAACAAAAATGTCATACGCACCTGTATTTATGTTTCTGTTATCATAACTCTGCTAGGTAAAATTCAAGATCCTCTGCTTATAAGTGAAAGTGAATTTAAGAAGACAGTAAGAATAAATGTCATGGCACCATGGTTTCTGCTGCAAGCTGTTGCTAAAAGGATGAGAGATGCTAAATCAGGGGGATCGATTGTATTGTTGTCTTCTGTTTTGGGTGCTGAAAGAGGACTTTATCCCGGAGCTGCTGCTTTTGGTACCTGTATGAGTTCTGTGCAGCAGTTGGTTCGTGTAAGTTTATCATATGAGCTTTTTTGTTCCCATTTGCTTGTACAGTTTATCCAGAATGCTTTGTGGATGTTATGTTATTAAAACATTTGGTCCTAATGTATATTGACATATGAAACTCACTTTGCACATCAAATATTAAGTTGCCTTGGTAGTAACCTATTTTATACTAAAGACATTGAAGTATGATCTGCATATCTGCAATTCAGTTTTCTGTGCTAAGAACTGAATTCTCTGCTAGAGTTGAATTCATTTTGCAATGTCGACTGAGTTGGGCATTGTTATTTGCAGTTGCTATTGCTTAGTTCCAGTAGTACATGTGCTAATTATTATTATTGGCACGTCACCTGCAAATCCTATCAAGCAAGGATGAATCTTGAGACAAATTTTGAATTAAAATCTTCTAGAATTAAAGTCGGGATAATTTGAATTCCGATTTCAGTAAATTTATAATTGAAATCCAACTTGAATCCAAATGCGTTCAAATCAAGCACCCGAAGAGCAATTGAGAACGCTGATATATTATTTGAAGGGCCAATCAATCTTTTTATCTTGCGTGCTTTTAATCAAAACGAGTGTCCTGATGTAAGGAATCTAATAAGTCTAAGATCATACAATTTAGATGCTATTAAGGTGCTTAAATGCTAACACATATTCTACAATTAAAGGAATCAATATAGGTTATCTAATAGATTGTTTGTGTTTTTTGCTAAATTTATTAAAATGTACTCAACAAGCTATAAATATACTCTTATTCTCCATATAAAAGTGGGATGGGAGTTTTGAGCAAAAGTCGGATTTGGAAATGGAGAAAGCTTTGCCTAATAATTGACACTGACGACTGTTGTCAACAATTTGCCTTCGCCCAACCATTGTCTTTTAACCACTGTCATGCGACTACGATCTCCTGATCATTATTGCTTGACGAAGGTATCCTGAGTATTGTTGCCCAACTACAGTCACCTTACTACAATCTCCGAAACATGGTCACTTATCTAGTATCACCTGACTATGATCTCCCGGTCACTGTTGCCTGACTATGATCTCCCGATCAGCGTCCTTCGACTATTGTCGCTCGATTAAGATCTCCTAATCAAAGTTATCTGACTATGATCTACAATTGCTCAACTATGATTTACTAATCATTGTCACCTGATTATTACCTTTCGTATACTTCATTGATAACAATATTCATGCACATCATTGCCTATAAGATCTATGTACGCCATCTACACCAACACACGTGCCCTCCGACTTTGTTTGTTGCTAACAACTTTGACGCACCCCATTGCATATAAGGTTGATGTATTCCATTAAAACAAAAATCGATGCAAACTACTTTGTCATTTGCTATTGTAAATAATGGCGACACACTTCATAACCTATAAGGCTGATACAGGCCATCGACACAAATATCGATGCCCACTGATTTTGTTTCCTGCTGTTTCCAACAAGATCAACAAACGGCATTGCCTAGAGAACTAATGCATGTCATAAACACAAACATTATTTCTGATGCACAATATTGCTTATAAGATTGATGTATGTTGTTGACACAAATGCCAATGCCTATTGAATTTTCCTTTCGTTATTGTTATCAACATCGATGCATGTTATTGCTTATAAGGTCGATGCATGTCATCGCCATAAAAGTTGATGCTCACTAGCTTCATCATCCATCACCTCCAACAACGTCGGCGGCGCATGTCATTGCCTATAAGGCAAATGCACTGTGCCAACATAGTCACCAACGTCATTGAGGTCCTTGTTCGCCATCATCAACAATATCTATGCACGCCATAACTTATATGACCAATGCATCTCGTCAACATAAATGTCGATGCCCATTAACTTCGCTGCCCACTGTCTTCACGATTAATGTATGTCATAGCCTTTAAGGCTGATGCACGTTATCAACACAAACATCGATACCATGCCAACTTAGTTGTCTATCGGCATTGCTAGAGTTGCGCATTCCATCTCTTATAAGGTCGATGCACATGTCGGCACAAACATTGACACCTATTGACTTTGGCATTGGCCCCTCGCCACCAACATTGATGCATGCCATTATTTATAAAGTCGGTGAACGCTGTCAACACAAACTCCGACGCATGGTGTCTCTATTAATATCGATGCATGTCATCATTTAAAAGTTTGACGCACGTCGTTGACACACATCTACCCCCGCCATCACCAATAACATCAATGCACGCCATTGCTTATAAGGCTAATGCAGGTCATCAACATAAATAATGATGCACACTATTGCCAATAACATCGACGCATGTTATCACTTATAAGGTTGATGTATGTTTTGATACCACCATCAACTCCCGATGAGTTTATTAATTGCTGTGGTCAACAACGTCAATGCACACCATTGCCAATAAGGTCGATGCATGTTGTTGACACCAACTCCGACTCTCAATATCAATGATAAGATTTATAGTGGATTACTGGGTCTCTAGTCTCCTCTCATTAAGGGAAAATGTTTGAATGGACCACAATCTCTTGAAGTTAGCAGCGACACATGTTATCGCTTATAAGGTTGATGTATGCTTTCGACATCTTGTTTTTTTCCCCCCTTACTACCTTAGTTGACCTAATTTCATGCTCGCAAGCCCTTGTCGTTGAATGAAAAAATGCATAGCTCATTTCCAGGAGTTTTTTTTTGCC